AGCGGGAAAAACGGGTGGAAAAAATCCAGGCGGGAAACGGAGCCGGAAGGTGCCAGTGCCACACGCGGTGCGTTGCATGCACTGAGTTAAGCCCGGCCTCAGCCCGGCCTCCCGGCCTCACCTCCACGATCTCCCGCACCTCGCAGGCTGCCTCCAGGGCCTCCAGCTTCAGCTGGGCCGTGCCGACCACTCGATCCGTCTTGAACAAGCCCCTGGAAGCAGGGGGGAAAAGCGGGATGAAGCGAAGTCCGAGCGCTGCCCGGCCCTCCTCTCCGCTCCTTTTTCCTGCCTGGCTTCCCGGCAGAATTCCCGGGAGCCCAAGGGCTCCCTCGCTCTTACCCTTTATGAGCCACTTCGAACTTGATGCCCTTGGTCTGGAGCACGCGCTTGAGGCCCCGGTGTCCTCGGTTGATGTAGAGCTTGAACTGCTCGTTGAATTCTGCCGGAGAGCCGGAGCTGAGCCGGGAATTCCCGGGACAACCCGAGGCAGCTCAGCCCTCGCAATGAAACCCTTCCGCGCCGCGATTCCCGGGACAAGGGATTTACCGGGACAGTCTGTGTTTTTGATCACGTTGGTCTTGTCCTTTTGGGCTTCCTCCTGCGGAGGAGGAGGGTATCGATGCCGAGTGTTCCCGGCCCGGCTCCGGAGCGCGGCGCGGAGGGACACGGACTTACCGCGTTGGGATAGGGGAACTCGAAGCGCACGAAGGCGTCCAGGTCGTTGGGAGCTACACCTTGAAGGCAGAAAAGGCAGAACCACCTCGCGAGCCGCCCCCAAAAAGGTGGAAATCGCAGCTCCCACCTCCCTCCGGAGCCCGCTCCGGCCCCGAGCCGCTGCCAACAGCCGGGATCTCCTTACGGAAGCGTTCGGCACAGCGGAACGCCAGCCCGGCAGTTCCCTGCGTTCTCCCCGTGGGCTTCCCACAAAGAAAACCGGGAAAAAGCAGCGCCCGATAACGAGCGCCGGCGCCGGGCCCGGCCTCCATGGGCTGTTTTAATGGGAGATAATTAAAAAAACGGGATTTTCCCCAGGGAGCCGGCGCGGCGAGGGGGGTGCCTCATTCTGCCTCCTTTTTGGGGCCCAAGGGCTGCTCCCTGCTCACCTGGCGGGGCCGGCAGGTTGATGCCCTTCACTATAGCCAGGACCATGTCGTTGCTGTTGAGTTCGGGGAAGATCCTGCGGAGGAATTCCCGGTGAGGGGATTCCCGGGAAGGGGAATTCCCAGGGAGGAGAATTCCCGGGACCTACTTGACGATGGTGAAGGTCCTCTGCTCGTAGTGGTAGCGGGGCAGCGGGAAGCCCCGCGCGTGGGCCTGCTTCAGGATCTCTATGTTCTGCTTGCAGTCCTCGGCCATCCGCTCGAACCTGCGCGGAAAAGCGGAGCCGTGTCCGGAGCCGCCTCCGGCTCGGCTCTTCCAGCAGCTTTTTTTCCCCAAAGTTGCCCCATTTTTGCTATCTCACCCCCAAAAAGCGAACTCAAAAGAATCCTAACTAGGAAGAGCAGCAACCTGGGCCTGAGCACCCCCTTCCCGGCCACAGAGGGAAACCCTCTTCCCAACCCAATTCCCAGGGGAATCGGAGGCAGCTGGAGCGGAATAACCCCCAGGGGAATTTGGCCAGGGACCGGGAAAACCGTGTTCATCCCTCTGCTCCGCACTGGGACCGAGGAGCAGCTTCCTACGGGATCCCCAGGTGAGCGAACTGCTTGGAATAATGGTTTCCCCCAGGAAACCGTTCGGAAGGGAGAAGCACGCGGCTTTCCGAAGGGGAAAGCGGGAGGAGAAGCGGCGCAGGATGCGCTGGGACGAAGGCGAAGCGCCGGCGCACTCACTTGGTCGTCTCCGCGATGTTCCCCAGGTGAGTGAATTGCTTGGAATACGTCACGCACATCTGGGATGAGGGAAAAGGCGGAAAGGGTCACGCGGTGCCGGCTCTCCGGTTCTCCGGTTCTCCGGCTCCCGGCCGCCCGGCGCTTCCCACCTCGTGCTGCTGCCGGAGCAGCTTCATGAGCTCCAGGTACTGGCTGGCGGCCTCCGGGGAGATGCTGACGCCCCGGCGCGGCACCAGCACGAAGTCCTCCTTGTTCACCGGAGCCTCGGGCACCTGGAAGGGCCGGGATCGTGTGGGAAAACTCCCTCCGGATCCCCCCAAAGCCGGCGCCCCGCGAGGAAATCACGGATCCAGCGCCACGCGGGAGCGCGGCGCCGGGAGCGCCGGCTGGGCCCCGGGAAGGGCATGGAGCGAATTCCGGTGGGCAGGGATGGCGGGAAGAGCCTCATGGAATCATAGAATGTCCAAGGTGGGAAGGGACCTCTAGGGATCATCTAGTCCATCCCCCTGCACACGCAGGGTCACCCAGAGCACGGGGACAGGGCTGCGTCCAAGCGGGGTTGAAGATCTCCAGAGAAGGAGACTCCACAACCTCTCTGGGCAGCCTGTTCCAGGGCTCCGGCACCCTCAATGTCAGGAATTTTTCCTGAAGTTCCTGTGGAACTTTTGATGTTTCAGTTTGTGGCCGTTTCCTCTTGTCCTATCGCTCTCCACCAGTG